CATATAGGACCTTTAATGTTTATTATCTTATAATGTTATCTTATATAATGTTATTATTATCTTATAATGTTTATTATCTTATTATCTACATGGAAGCCTTGTGAAGTAGACAGGTATTATTCTAATTTTATAGACAAAAAGACTAAAGTTGGGTGGGGGAGATAGTACCCAGAGGGAACAAAGCTAGGAAGGGACATAAAACTGCAAACCCAATTCCCTACCGGCTCACACTGGTTCACCCTGACTACTATAACACCAATCTTGAGAAATTTTGGAATTTGATGGGTTAATTTCTTTTCATCTTGAAGTTTTGACTGCTAATAGGAGATTTGGTTGTAAGCAAGGAAATCTTATACTACTCAAACATTCAAATTAAGGCTAAAGATTCTGGCACAGTAGTAAGGAAATAGGAACTAAAATCAGCGACTGGGTACTGTAGACAGGTGCCAAGATTGTAGCAGGGAGAGGATAGTGGATTAGGTCATTAAAGTGGTAGGCAAAATTTAGAATGGACTTTAGTTAAGTGGTGGTTAGAGGATAGACAAGCTAGAGGAGAGGAGAAAGGAAAGAGGCAGGGAAGTAGTTTGCTAGTGGGAGTGTACCTAGGTGAGGAGAATGGGTAGTCTTCTTGAGGCTCAGAAAGGTGATGATAGGTAAGTGCTGGGATGGAGGGGTATAGTAGAGGTAAGTGTTGGGAGATATGTATCAATTTAGGAAACTACAACAGTGGTCCAGCCTTTATTTAATAATTGATTATAGTATAGAGTACATTGTGAAAATTCATTGGTTGTTCTTTTCCAATTGCCACACAAGCTAATGTCACAAATGATAGCCATGTTTAGTTGTGTGGAAGTCTTGCATTGATTTTAACATCAAAGCATCTGGGAAGTAAAAACTAAGCGTGTTTCTTTCTTTGTGGCATAATTTAATATTATCCATTGACAGCATAGATGAGAATATCACAACCCAGTTAAGCATTACCGGTAAGAAAATGGAGGCAATAGTAGCACCATTGTCCATTCATAATAAAGTTACTCCAATGGTTGGTATTGTGTATGTCTTTCCTAGGCGTGTGGTGGCTGCATCATATCCGTCGGGGGCCAGATTCCAAACAACCTGGCGGTCCCTCTGTATAAGAATGGTGTCAAGATCATGGGCACAAGTCCATTGCAGATCGACAGGGCTGAGGATCGGTCCATCTTCTCAGCTGTCTTGGATGAGCTGAAGGTGGCTCAGGCACCGTGGAAAGCTGTTAATACTTTGGTAAGGAGAGAAACAAATGTCTTTTCTCAATGTTCTTTTGTGAAGAGTTGTAACCTGAATGTTAACTATAGGAGGTGTTAACTACAGGGCAGATAGGATGTACTATGCTTAGTAAATTTACTTCAAAGTTTCTGTATTTCCATGATTGCAGTTAAAGACTGATTATAAATTGATAGCAGTATTCTCATTAAGATTCAGACCATGGAAAGAAGTTCAAACTATTTTTGAACTAGATTTGATATTTAGAATCAGAAGCTAGAAATTTTATGTATTTTGATATCCAATACACATTTTAATGGTGTCTTGTGAGAAAAAGAATAAAAAGTTGGGTTGCCGCTTGACCTAACAATACTGTCCTTCAATTTTATTGCATATTTTAAACTATTCATATTTTTATCTATTAATTTGTTTTAATGTTATCTAATTGTTTCTATTAATTAGAATGAAGCACTGGAATTTGCAAAGTCTGTGGGCTACCCCTGCTTGTTGAGACCTTCCTATGTTTTGAGGTAATACTGTATATTGTTTTCCAAAACAATGATTCAAAAATTGAGAGATACAGAAGTGCATGCTGTATGCTATTAGCACTTGGCTTCTATGTGTAGTAATTTGTGAAACCCATTGACAATCCCCA